ACGTCGTTCAGTGAAGTGAGCTTGGTGGGCGTCATCTAGCATGTCTGCTACCCCGGCATCATCATCAAAAGCCTCGAGGCGTGCTCTCACCACCTCCGCTCTTATACGATCTGCTTCACCATGGTAGATCCACTGCTGGTAGCCAGGCGTATAACCATTGAACACAAGATGTCTACCCATGGTCTTCTCGTCTACTTTTCTCCTGTTGTCACATTTGCTGTAGGGACACCAAACTAGAGAATGTCCTCCTGCCCCTGGGCCAAATGCATGTTTCAAGAAACCATCTGTCCCCTTCACCCATTCATAGTCGTAGTCACTCCCGCTTCTCTAGCCCATGTACATCCACTGACGGTCCTCCATCCTTTAACATTTACAGCATAGAGTATTGTGACCATCAATTGCATCTACGCGGTGTTCCTACTATCTAATAGGTGAGGATAGGTCCTAATCCCACCCGTGGATGCGTAGATGAGGTTAGTTTTCATGCTCCGCTCCTCTCCGAGACAGAATTTCGGTAGCACCTCCCCGTTATTCTCTCGATACACGTCCTGTAAGGGAGAGTGTGTATCTGGAGAACAACAGGGAGGTGTTGTCGAAACTCCTTCTCGGACCGGAGCGGACCATGGAAACTAACCCATCTACGCATCCACGGGCTGTCCAAAAAACATGGACAATCCGAAATAGATACGCTTGCAGATACGCAAAGATCCGCATACCTACGACCGTATCTCTTTCGGACGGGAGACGCCTAACTGGGTTACGCGCGGGCTACGACAGACATGCGCAAAAAGAGGTTATTTATACCAAGGGTGTCGGTGAAGTAAGGCTAGCGGGGCAGTGGTGAATCGACGCAGTGGCACGGCGACGCAGGGCAGGCAGAACCGTGACATCGACGAAGACGATCGGGGTCCTCTGGGTCCCCTCCGACGTACTCTTCTCCTGCATAAAAAGACAATAGGTTATTTTTTGTTCAAAATTTCGGCAGCACCTCCCCTGCACGGGGAGGTTTCCAAAACCTGCAAAAAAACGACATGATGGTCGACATTCACAATGGCACGAAGGCCGACAACCACAACGGCACGAAGGCCCTCATATCAAGTTACGGCACGAAGGCCCACACAACCACATACGGCACGAAGGCCGACAACGAGAGTTTTACCTAGGGTTGCGGTGGAGTCGGGCGTCGCGGTGCGGGGGTCACTTTCTTCTCCGGCGAGGTCGAGCGGCGTTGGAGTACTCCTCTCCCCCTCTTCCCTTTCTTCTCTCCTTTTCCCCTTCTTCTCCTTCTCTTCCCCTTCCTCCTTCTCTTCTTCTCCTTTTCTTCCCCTTCCTCCTTCTCCTCTTCTCCTTCTCTTCTTCCTCCAACTTCACCCTCTCTCTCCTCCAACAAAGAAATGACGGGGGCGGCTTGGGGGCTGGGGTCGGGGCGGAAAGGCCGACGAGGGGGAGCCGCCGGAGGGCCGGCCGGGGCGGTCGACCTCCCCTTGCTCGACGGAGACGGGGAACGGAGGCAGGGCGCGACCTCGGCCGCCACTGGGCGTGGTGGGGCGTGGCCACCGGTGGGGCGCCCGGGGGGTGGCTGGCGGCGGCCGAGCGGGGGGCGCATGGGTGGCCAGGCAGCGGCCAGGCGTCTTGGCAGATGGTGGTGGGGCGAGGGCGGGGCAGGGGCTGCTGGGCTCGGGCGGCCGAGCACACGTGGCCAGTGGCTGTGGCCAGTGTGGAGGCGGCGCTGGCCGGAATGGCGCGAAGGTGGGGCGTCTGTGGCGGCCAGGCTCAGCCAGCCGGTCTTGTAGACAGGGCATGCGGCGTGTGTGGTGTGCGTGGGCGGCGCGGTGGCGGCGGGGGCCGGGGCCAGCATGGCGCGTGGGGAGGGAGAGGTCGACCGTTTTTTTTTCACAATTTCCGATCGGGAATTTGGGCCGCGGCCCGATTTAGGGTTCGGCGCTTTGCCGAGGCCCAGATCCACGACCCTCGGCAAAGATTTTTATTTTTTTTAAATTCTTTGCCGAGGGCCCAGATCCACGACCCTCGGCTAAGATTTTTATTTTTTTTAAAATTCTTTGTCGAGGCCCAGATCCACGGTCCTCGGCAAAGATTTTTAATTTTTTTTAAAAATTCTTTGTCGAGGAGCCGCAGGCGGGCCCTCGACGGCAAGCCCTCAACAAAAAAAAAATTGGTTTTTAGCCCGATTTTTTTTTTGGTGCTACAATACATTGTTTTGAACTCAATTTTTAAAATTTAGGCCAATTTTGATTTTGTTTTGTATATTTCCTTAATTTATTTTGATTCTTTGATTTTTTTTAATATGTCAAATTTGAGCTGCGGTGCATGGAATATTGCAATGTAGTGTTTGAAAAATGTTATTCATGTTAATTGGTGCATGTTGAGTCCCTATCCACATCTCGCATCAAATTTTCGTGATTTGTTAGCGTAACATGTACCAACTGGAAAAGTGTTTTAAAATTATATAAAATCCATTTCCCTAATCACGAAACTTGGCGAGATGCCATGTTATCGCATAAAAAGATGGCTTGAAACTTTGATGCGGGTGGATAGGGACTCAACATGCACCAATTAATATGAATAACATTTTTCAAACACTACATTGCAATATTCCATGCACCAAGCAGCTCAAATTTGACATATTCAAAAAAAAATCAAAGAATCGAAATAAATTAAGAAAATATACAAAACAAAATCAAAATTGGCCTAAATTTTAAAATTGAGTTCAAAACAATGTATCGTAGCACCACAAAAAAAAAACTGGGCTAAAAAAAAAAAAAAAATTGTTGGGCTCTTTGCCGAGGGCTCGCCCAGTAGCCCCTCAAGAAAGAATTTTTTTAAAAAAAAAAAAATCTTTGCCGAGGGCCGTGGATCTGGACCCTCGGCAAAGAATTTTTTTAAAAAAATAAAAAATCTTTGCCAAGGGCCGTGGATCTAGGCCCTCGGCAAAGATTTTTTTAAAAAAAATAAAAAATCTTTGCCGAAGACCTATCCTGGCCCTCGGCCAAGGGCTTCTTTGCCGAGGGCCTAGCCTCGGGCCCTCGGCAAAGGCGATTTATAAAAAAAAATTTGGCCGAAAAACTAGTTTTAAAAAAATCTTTGCCGAGGGCCTGGTCTAGGGCCCTCGGCAAAGACTTAAAAAAAATTGCCGAATAACCTGGTTGCACAGGAAAAAAAAACCTTTGCCGAGGGCCTAACGGGTGGCCCTCGGCAAAGCTTGACGGGAAATGGCCGCCGTGACCCAACAGGCCTAATTTGCCGAGGACATCTTTGCCGAGATTTGCCGAGGGCCTGTCTTTGCCGAGTGTCGTACCCTCGGCAAAGGCCTCTTTGCCGAGGGCTCTTGTGTCTGGCCCTCGGCAAAGAGCGTCTTTGCCGAGTGCCCGAGATTTGGCCCTCGGCAAATCCTCAGGCCCTCGGCAAAGCACGCGTTTCCAGTAGTGGTTATTCTGTTTTCATTTGAGATTAGTAGTTATCAAGCGTGGATGACATCGATATAAATGAATGTTTTTATTGTCTAAATCATACTCCATCCGTCTCATTCTTAGTGTCGCTACAATATTCGTGCTGGTCAAACTTTTTTAAGTTTGACTAGATTTATAAAAAATATTAGCAATATTTGTACTTTAAAAAAGTTTATTATAAAATATATTCTACAATTTATCTAATAATACTAATTATGTATTATAAATATTAATAGTTTCTTCCATATATTTGGTTAAAGTTGCGTATGTTTGACTTCTGATGAGGTGAGAGCAACAGCTAAAAAGGGACAAAGGAAGAACTGTTTCTTTTTTGACTGATTGACTCAGACTTCCGTGGTCTTCTCGCTCCTCTGTTGGGGCGAACTTTCCTAAGTATACCTACATGCCAGCGGCGAAGCCGATACATTGGTCCACCAAGAGATATCCCAGATGGAGCAGAACCAGGCAAGATTGCTGATGAGGAGATCCCGAAGCTGAAGCAGGAGGGTGACAGGCATCCGATGTTCCACCTGGAGACACAAGTCTCCATGTGATCATGTGGCATAGCATAGAGACCTGTCCAACTTATCACGAAGTCAAGGCCCACGAGATGATCTCTCCATAGGATTATATAGTACTACGAACACAAGGTTGATATATGCCATTATGTGTCGAGATGTGATGAGTGATTGTCAGAAGATGATCAGGCTTCAGCTAAGTTTGAGACTAACCCTAGCGTGATTGTGTTGTGCAACATATCTCTTGGCTTATGGTGTGTAGGTGTGAAGCACTGAGACGGTCGATGGTAATGAAGAAGGTCAAGTAGAGACGTGCCTTGCCGATAGACTTAGAGTGGTGGAGGACGGACGTGACGCTTGGACCGAGGTGCCGGAAGACTGACCGTGGCTAGTTGACACTTGCAGACAACGACAGTGCAAGTGTACATGGAGAAGCGGACCGTGTTGATTAAGTCAAGACGGGCGGTTGACCAAGTCAAGCAGAGGCGCTGGAGATCGACGGTGATCAGACGATCAAGGACGACGATGAGACGTGTCAAGACGATTATACCCTTCATTCCTTCTTTCCTATAGCAAATCCCGCACCCGTGCCTCTCCCTAATAATACCACACCGCTCATATCCCTACCACTGCCGCCATGATGCGTTGGCCGTGATCATCCGGCCGCCACACACACAGAATCGCCGTGATCCACCCTCGAGTTCTAGGGCTCTAACCGCTAGGACTGGATATAACCCCATCCCTGTGCTATATAAGGTGGGCCAGGATGCTCCCTTGCATGGTTTCACGACACGACCACCACACATATATATGCTATCAAAATGTGCAGATATATTGGACCATCAAAAAGGAAAAAAACAAATATCGATAGTCGATGATTGCTGTACAAACCGCATATCACTAATATCTTGTATGATAGTATATATCGCTTCGCTGCTCTTAATAGTTTATTACACCGCCCAACCTCACACATATGCTTTCACGACTTCTACCTGTGCCTGGTACCGCGCCTGGCTCACTTGGGACGCGCGCCTGCCTCTTTGCCGCTGCCGGAAGTAGTGGTCTCCGGCTTGTACTTGTCGATCATTTTTTCGAATTCCTGCAAAATCACGGTTGCATATCGAACGTACATTGTTGAGTAATTAATTCAAACCGGACATGCCCATACTGTACGTACAAAGGTATGCACAATCGCCCACCTTCAACATTGCGCCCTTCATGAATTCGAAGTGACTGTCCTTAAACTGTTGCTCAACGCCTGCGTAATGATCCAACTCTGTGAAGATGTGCTGGTGCAGCTGTGTGACGGCAGGGTGCTTAGGCTTGATGTCGTTGTCCCGGGTGGTGCTGGGTGGCGCCGGGGGTGGTGGCGACTTGTTGCCCCTAGACGACGAGGAGGAGGAGGCCCCCGCCCCGTCTTCCTGGACAGGCGGCTGCTGCTTATAATTCCTTGCCTTTTCCACCATTTTCCCCATGTCTGGCGTCAGGAACGGGGGGGTTGCTGGTGCCGGCGGTGGCAGTGGCAGGCCCGTGGTGGCACGCTGCATCTGGTAGCTCGACACCCACGAGTAGATGCAGCTCAACCCCGAGGAGACCCCCTCTTTCTGCAGGCACTTCGCCATCGCCTCCATGTCATCGTCGATCCTCCGCAGGTCGTCGATGAGGTCACTCATCTCCTGGGCCACCTCCAGATAATTTCGTGTCTTCTTTCGCTCCTCTTCCCACTTCCTCCGCAGCAGGCCTCCCACCTCCTCCTTCTTCTTCGTCATCGAGTATTCCTCTGCAAAGCTGGCCAGCATTTCCAGCACCTCCAACATGATCATCCTTTGCAGGACCATGGAATTGGGAAGCGATTGTTTCAACTTCCCGTACGCTGTCCTGGCAGCCTCATTACTGGTTCCCGTGACTAGGAGCGGCAGGTTGCATTCGGCGGTAAGAGTAGTAGTACTAGCAGCAGCAGCTGCTGCTGCCTCTGCCTGGTTGTGTGAACTAGCAGAACTATCCTCATACTCCAGGGTAGCAGTAAGAGTAGCTGATCGGGTTCGTGAACTAATGGGGTTGGTTCTAAAATTAATCTGGACGATCAAGTCCTTCACCTCACCAGCGTAGAGGACGCCGACAGCAAAACCTTCCTTCGTCTTGGTGATAAAGTCGTGGGCCCCCTGTTGGATCTTCATGTTGATGCTTTTATTGTTCACATTGTTCTCGTTTGGGTTTGGGTCGTCGAGCTTTACCCTGATTTTGACGCGCGTGTTGATGGCCACAACACTCTTGAGCCCGCCTAAGCACAAGGCCACGGCTTCCATCAGCTTGCTGCTGTTGTTGAGATTATTCTGATTCTCCGCATGCGCAGGCGCAATGGAGGAGTAGGTTCCTCTGGATGTTTCGGCGATACGATGCAGCATCCCTGGGTCATGATTCATTCCCAAGCCGAAGGCGTGCACCGGGTACTTGCGACGGAGGTTTTTGACATCAGACTCGTCAAACAGAAGCTTGTTCTGTCGTCCATCCGACAGGAGGAGGATGAAGCCAACACGCTTCACGCCACCAGGACTTTGTTCACTCGTACTGTCCAGGATCTGTATCCGTTACAATTAACACACGTTATTTAAAATGTATCTGTCCATTTTTGTTTATATTATATATTAGCGAAGGTGCTAATCATTATTGAGAATAATAGACATGTAACCTATTCTATTCCCAAAAAAAATATTATGAAAACGGTATAAGGGTGACCCCTAAATCTGCATCTCAATCACCTATCTCTACCATTATGAAATACAATCTAAAGTAAGCCTCTAAATTTACATGTCAATTATTCGCTAATGCCATTTATGACAGGTAATTTGAGTATCTCCTTCAATTTGTATCTAACAAAGCAACCACCTTTGTCAACACCAAAAATAAACTGAAAAAATCCTCGACATCTAAAGTCATATATACTCCATCGGTCTTGAAATGACAATCGCAATTGACTAGAGGAAATGTCAATTGCGACGTAGATTTTAACCTTTAATTTCTCTTATAATATATATAGTCAATTGCTAAAAGATCAATATTATTTTAGAGGCACTTTAAACACAGATGTATTGGTGCAAGTTGTATGCTCTATACCTGCATATAATTTGACTAACTGTTGATCAAAATTTCTAAAGTTCGACCTTTTCTCTAGTCAAATATGATTATCATCCTTATAAGGGAACTCTTAACAATGTTCAATGTACACTAAGGACGAAGCCTCTTACCTGAACGGCGCGCTCCACTGGTCTAAGCTCAGTTCGAGTCTTGTCCACGACATTTTCCTGGTTTCCCTGGGCATCAAATATCCAATCATCAATGGACATGGACATCGTCTGATCATGGAATGCGCAAATGTACACTAAGGACGAAGCCTCTTACCTGAACGGCGTGTACCCGCTTTCTAGCTTCGGCTATCCAATTATCAATGGTCGTCTCCGTCTGAACATTGAATGCATCAACGACGTCAATCAGGCCTTTTGCCGCGTCCTCTCTACAGACCACTCCTCTCATGAACTCCATCGTCTTCAGCAGATCCAGTAACCTAATTGGTCCTGCTGCCAGCTGCTGGCCCGTTGTACCCCAGACATCTAGCACCACAACTAGGTGTATGGGGGTTGCATTGCTACCATGTTCCGATGGTGGCGCTTTTACACGAACCATTGCTATGAATTTTGAGTCGGTCGTCGTCCTCTGGCCTGATTTGACTAGGACCCAGGGCAAATAGAGCGAACCACTCACTTTGACCTGCATGCATGTGAAATTAATAATAATTAGCTTTACCCGGAACATCGAGATCGCCATCATATATCTAGCTCGGTATCAAGTACTCTAGTTTTCTTTGGATAGATGTACAGGTAGTGTTAGCTTCTATTAGTAGTTGTAGCAAGCAGTGGCAGTAGGAATAGTTTATATATATAGCATTCTTGAAAATTTAATTGTCTTGTGTTTTCTTTATATTCAGCCAGTTCGCTTGTTGGTTTCAGCTAGGGCTTATCAGCCATGATACAGTGTTTTCCTCTAACAACAAACTAGCGCCAGCCGGGCTTATCAGCTTAGAAACCAACCAGCGAACAGGCTGATTATATAGCATCGTCCTGTCTTAATTGGTCTCACTTGATGGCAAAGTCAAGTGAGCAACACGTATATAATTGCATTGTGCAAATTAAGTTTAATTTGTGAAATTTGCAGGAATTAACACACATATGGAGTACACATCCACCCTCCTTGGTGAAACTAGCTAGTGGTATCCCAAGAACACCTAGTACTCTTTATTTTTGCTACTACAAAGATGATTATTATCAGCCGTAGCCTCTCAAAATCAAGTGACTGCACATGTATTTGTATAATTTTCAAGTATCATGGTGTGATAAAAATTTCAAATGCTAGAGCGCTGCTTCTTTTTTTTGTTAGCACATAGATGATTAAGAGCTAGCCGTAGCCTTGAAAAATGGGATGTTAATTTAAATCTTTGTTACATATTCAATACTGAACTTGAATTACAAACTAATTCCAACTAGGAACACAAACTTTCACATTGTAAACGGCGTCGCCTGAACTTTCCATGCTACATATATAGTAGATGTCTCCTGAGTAAGTGATTGTTTAGGTTGATTAATGAGGATGAGGTTTGGCAAAACCTTCTAAGAAGGAAATACCTGTCTAATAACCTTCTATCTCAGGTGCAACATAGGCTTGGGGATTCGCATTTCTGGGCCAGCCTTATGAAGGCAAAGGATGATTTTCTAGCTTGTGACACTTTTAAGGTGCATTGCGAGGAGCATGTGCGGTTTTGGAAGGATGTGTGGTTAGGCGATAAACCTTTCAGTGAGGTTTACCTTTGCTTATTTAGAATTGTGAGGCGCAAGGATGATACGGTGGCAAATGTCCTTGGGACTGTACCACTAAATGTGTCCTTTAGGCGTGGTTTGGTTAATGCAAACCAGATCGCTTGGTTTGACCTAGTGTCAAAAGTAGTACAAGTCCACCTCACAAATGGGAAAGATGTTTTTCGATGGAACCTTACTAAGAATGGCATGTTCACAGTCCGGTCCACGTATACAACTTTGATCCGTCAGGGCGTTCTCCCTGGCAAAAGTCCTCTCTGGAAACTAAAAGTGCCACTAAAAATTAAGATTTTCATGTGGTCTTTAAAAAGGGTAACTCTTATGAAAGATAATTTAGAAAAGAGGAACTGACAATGAAGCGTCAAATGGTGTTTCTGTAGTTCTGTTGAAACTATCCAACATTTGTTCTTTGGTTGTCACTTGGCAAGCTTTGTATGGAATACTGTGCACATCACTTTTGGAATTCAACTACCTACTAGCTTTGCTAATTTGTTTGGTTCTTGCACTACTACAAAATTGACTTTCAGTACCGGCAACATTAGTGCTGGTTTCCGGCGAACCGGCAATGAAGGGTTATCACTGCCGGTTCTGAGCTTCAAAATCAGAAAAAGTTTGGGGATCACAGAAAACTGGCAGTGAAAGTTCATATCACTGCCGGTTTGTGGCTAGAACCGACAGTAAATGGACTGTGATGTATCACTGCCGGTTCTAGCCACGAACCGACACTGATGTAGTGCTATCAGTGGTAGTTTTTGGTTTAAGCCGGCAGTGATAAACCCAAGTACAAAAGCTGTCGCCCTCTTCTCCCTCCTCTCTCCCATCCCGACCACACTCAGCAGGGGGCGCGCGTTTTCCCCACTCCCTCCATTGTTGCAGCCATTCTTCACCAAAATGCTCAATGAAGCTCTTGGATTTTTGAGCATGGGCATGATCTTCTTGCTTTAAGGTTAGTAATAAGCATCCACTCCCTTGAATTTGTAGCTTTATAGTTGTTTTGATGGCTAGATTGCTTGATTCTCATTCAAGTTGTTTCTCTTTCCAATTGGATTATGAGGAAGGCATCCAAATTGTGGTGAATCGATCTTTCAAAAGGTTGGTGTCTACGAGACTATTTTAGTTCCCAGCTAATTACATAGTGGTTTTGATGATTGTTATTAGTATGATTGGAGTAGAGTAGATTTTTTCCAATAGGGCTGCCAATTTCCATTTTTTGAGCAAATCAATGCGACACCTACCAACCCATTGTTTTGAGCTATATTGTTGTTCATGATTAAGTATCCAATTTTAATTTTATTTGTAATTAGTGTGTTCATTTTTATGTGGCATGAAGTAGAATAATTGTTCTTGATGAGTGTAAAATAATTGTTTTGTTGTGGGGCTACGATTTTCCATTTTTATAGGGCTACCAATTTTATTTTTTCAATAATTAGTGCAGAATAATTGTTTTTCAAAATGGGGCGCCCAAATTAAATTAATTTAGAATGAATTGTAGTTTTGAGCTATGATGACTCTCCCCATTTTTATGTGGCATGAAGTCTAAATATTTTTCTGTGCATAGATGAATCGAGGGTGGATGTACGGTGTGGCTGCTACGGACGAGCGGTACTTGATGGGCGTCGCCAACTTCATTACTGCTGCGAAAGCTAATGCCGGGGAGGGACAACTTGTATTCTGCCCATGCAAAGATTGCAAAAATAAAAGAAAATGGGGTCGCTCGGAGTGTATACGAATGCACTTGATTACTAGGAGGTTCATGAGAGACTACATGATATGGAGTATGCATGGAAAGGTCGGTGACAATGTTCCGCCAGAAATCAATGATGATGTGGCCATGCCTAACGTAGCCCTACACGAGGCTGTTACTAACGCTGAAACCGGTGTCAACACACAACCTATGGCTACCGTTAATGATGTGTTTAGGAATACATTAGCTGACGACACCGAGAAAAACAATGGCATTTCTCAGCTACTACATGATGTAAAGGGCAGATGCCTTAGTGATACACAGTTGAGAAAGCTAGAGATAATGAGAAAGGATGGGAAAACACCATTATATCCGAGTTGTCCAGTCAGCAAACTGGAAGCCGACATCATGCTATTAGAGTTTAAATTTACACACGGATTGAGCGATAAAGGCTTCGATGACTTGTTAGGTATAGTTAGGAAACTGCTTCCAGACCGTAACGTGTTGCCAGAAAAGACATATCTGGCCAAGCAAATGATTTGCCCAATCAGCCTCAAGGTTGAAAAAATCCATGTGTGTAGCAATGATAGGCGGCTGAAGGAAATTGAAGAAAAAATTGAGCAAAAGCTTGATGCCACTGTTGCGACGAGTTGATGAAGTTCTTGCGTCCGTGGGATTGGCACAAGCACCCTGCGTTCGACTAGCATGAGCCCATTGCTCAAGGGTCGCGATGAGCGCGGATCGACCCCATTGCTCGATGAAGAAGAGGCAAATGCACTTCATCCGTTGGTCAACATCACCGAAGCCGTTAATGTTAGGCTGTACATCAGCCATCAATGGACAACTGACAAGGTAGCGGTTGACTAGGCCTTCCCAAGAGGGGATGGGATCCTTCATGGCCACGCAATTCCACCGGGGTACGCCAGGGTCAGCATTGATAAGATCATTGATAAGAAGTACAACAACATACACATTGATTACCCCGTAGAGGCAGACAGGCTGCGTCTTATTCAGAACAAGGGCACTCATGTGGCTTGGTGGAAACGCTTCGTTAAGCTTGATGAGCAACCGTCTTTGGATGATGAGGACAACGACAAATCTCCACCTCATAAGGCACCAACACCGCCCAGAGATCAGCCGCCTCCATCTCCCCCCAAAGGTCATGACTCTCCTACGCCTCAGCATCCTCGTTCTCCCCCTCCATCACCCCCGCCGCCCAGAGATTAGCTGCCTCCATCTCTCCCTAGAGGTCATGACTCTCTTACGCCTCAGCATCCTCGTTCTCCCACTCCATCACCCCCGAGAAAGAGAATTCCCCGCCTCTCCTGCTAGTCCTCCCCAACAAAGATCTCACCAAGTGGCATCTCGAACCAACACAAGAGCAGGGTTAGCCTCGAGAAAAAGGTCATCTAGTTCGGTAGCTCATGCTCCCAAAACGCATTAAAAAAGAAGAAGATGGTGGACGGGAGCATTACGGGATTGATGAAGAATAGTGACAAACCGGCAAAGCTTGACTGTAGGGAGGATCGCACCAAATTCTTTAAAAGAATAGCCTTGTTACCTAGGTGGATGTCGATCACCGATATCGATAGGCAAGACAGTAGCGAGCATAATAAACAAAGAGTCATGGATGAGCACACTCGTGATAGGATACAAATATAGCAGCGAGACGAAACTATGGACATAAGCATGGAGGATGCTGAGCTAATCTATTCGAATGAAAAAAAAAGAATGTGCGGCGCGTAGATCGCATACAAGTATTCACTTGGCAAAAGTTTGATGGCAAGTGATGACGATGTCAATGATTTGCCAACAAATATGCGGCAACTGCATGATTATTACATGTTTAATAGCCGGGGGGGTAATGCTGGTTTCGGAGCTCTTATCCGCCCCGGAGTGGTGTTCAATTATCCTGATGAAACACTACATCATGTTGAGTATGATCATTTGTTTCAGCTCTTCCAGAGGCACGACCTTGATAACCAAATAATGATGTTGTGGACTTTGTAAGTACCCTACCCGTACGGTATTATAATAAACTATGTGTTCAACATTTGAACATATGCCATGCTTTAATTATGTAGGTGGTTGGGAGCTTATTGCGTAAAAAATAAATACAATCATTAAGGCTT